GAGGGGTGCGAGTTCCTTCTTGCCGGCCCGTGAGTGACTATTGCCAGACATGAGAGGATGAAAGACCCCCCAGGGAGTTCCCTGGGTCTCCTCTAGACGTGCTCCTCCCATTCCCAGGTGTGCCGCTAACCTGGCTCCTCATGACGGTTCACATGATTGACCCTAGCAGCACAGTCACTCCCTTCTTGGTCTGTTGTCACTGGCGGGGGGAGCTGAAGCGGGGAGGGGACAATGTCAGCTTCTGGCTGAGTGGCGGCTTATTGTGTTGCATTCCCTTTTGCCCTGGAACTAGAACCTCTAACCAAGCCTATGTGTGACAGTGAGAAGAGCCACTCCTAGGCCTGCCTGCTATAGTTTTAGGGGATGTGGTGCCAGATATCAGCTGTCAGTTCAAGGCATTTTGGAGGACAGAAGCTCAAGCCCAGAGGACATCTTCCCAGTCACTACCTCAGGTGAGCTTTCGATAGGCCATTCTGTTGTTCTGTCAAATTGGCTGCTCCTGAATGATGGCAGGGTGCACGCTGAGACCAGTGAAGTCCATGGTCAGGAGTCATTGGTGCACCTCCTTAACTGAAAGGGGTGATTTGGTCTGAGGCTGTGTTATATGGGAATCCTGGCCAGCAGATAAGGATCTGAAAACTGTGGACCATAGTGCCACTGGAGGCAACCCCATTGCCAGAAAATGCATCGATCCCAATAGGGACAAATGGCTTAAATCACCCCCACCCCCACTCCCCAGCAAACGTGGAAGGATTCTGATCTAATTGGTGGCTGTCTGGTTCTTTGCAAGAAGCGGGCCATGTTGGTCTTTCCTGCTGGCAGGTTGGGCACTCAGTGGGGCAGCAAGTAAGCCTTGGTGATATGGAAACAAAAAGGTAAAAAGGATGCAAAGTGATGTGAAGCTTTAATGGGTCAGCCACCATCTCACAGCAAACTGCAAGGGTCACAGAGGCTGCTCATGTTCTCTGGGCTCATGGACGTCTCCACTCTACTTCCTTTACCAGACTTCTACAGACCTCTACCAGAAGTGTGCAAGGATAAGCCATACCTTGGAGAGGTCCGCAGAGAGGATAAGTGAGGGGTATTTACCTGCTTGCTTCCCATCCCTTTCCCACCTTCCACTGGTCGTTGTTCAACTTGTGAGGCACTAACCTTCCACTCCAGTGGGTTGCAAAAATCCAGCCTCTTGGTGGCCTCTCTGGAAACCAGATCCTGTACTCTGAATTCAGCCCCTCTTCCAAGTCCAGAAATGGAGGGGTGACTCAGGCCAGATGGGGCTTCAAGAGAGGAAATAGGGGAGGTCGTGAGGGACTGAGCTGATGCAAAGGTTTGTATCCAGTACAGGTGGGTTAGTCACCAGCCATAGTGCTGCGTTAACTCATACAGCTCAGTTAGTGCTTAGGAAGCGCTGCATTAACTGTTATAGGCTTCCAAGTTCTGGTGGCAGACGTCACATTCTCATCTCCAACAAGGCTTTCAGTCATCAGAACTGCTGAGGATTACTTGGTTGAGAATCAGTGTGACTCACTTAGAAGAATGCTGGTTAGGGTAACCTCTCTTGTGGTCAAGTTTTACTGCAGGTGTCTATATTTTGTCTCCACTTGTTCTAAGTACATGAAATATCCACCAAATTTGAAGTAATGCCTCAAAACATACCTCCTTAAAAAAAAATGGCCCATTCTGTGTGCTGGTTATGAGCTCTGATATAACTGGGAGGCACTAGGCCATGGACTGGTTTATCTTGAAGTAGTGAGGCTGCTGAAGCTGCCCAGGACTCGATGAGAATAGATGGTTCTGGGTTGTTGCACAGCTCCAAAGGCCTCCAGCAGGGTTAAGGACCTGTCACTGCAGCTTCCAGGGCGCAGTCCCCAGTGTGTCATGAGAGGTAACCCTTTCACAGAGAGGGTTACCTCAGCCACTTAAAATGGGAAAAACAAAACCTTTTGTGTACATCATGGTTAGGTATACTGCTCCTAAAAAACAAACTGAATTTTAGACTATGTCGCTGAATATTAGGTCCTTTCAGGACTGACTTTGAAGGCATTGAAATTTAAAAAAACTAAATAGGAAAAAGATACCATTTTGGCTACTTGTGGAGAATGGATTGACCATAAAACATTTATTTATTTTTTATCACAGTAAAGTTGATATACAATATTATGTGTATTTCAGATGAACAACATAGTTACTGGTTAATTGTATACATTACTAGATGCTTGCCACAACAGGTATAGTTACCCTATTTTCATATCAAGACATTACAGTATTACTGGTAAATTATCGATGTTGTACCTCCATTCCTAAGTCTAACTTATTTTACAATTTGCAGTTTGTACTTCTTTATCCCCTTCACCTATTTCACCCATACACAGGATATTTAAATGAAAGAAAAAAGATGAGAGAGCTAAATTCTAAGACAAGCACATGCATTGGACCTTGATAATTTATAGGCTCCTTTAATCCTCAAATTTACATATGCCACAATTTAATTTCTAAGTAACACAGGAAATAAAATGGAAAAATTAATTTTCTCAAGTCTTTTGATGAAAAGTAACTCTAGTTACAATGAATTAAGGTTAATTTTAAATTTGGACACTCTGACTGGTAAAGCTTATCTGCTGTATTTCTATTTTCTGAAATTCTCGTGTTACTTTTTCATATCTACCTGTTCTTGTTTTATTTTTACCAGCTTTTATTTAACAAATTATTGCTCCTTTTATGGATGTTATTCCTTCATCTTTGAAAATCCTAAACCTATTTATATTCCTATTTTTCATATTGTTCTGGTACTTCCATTTTGTCAGAACCAATTCATGTTCTGGGCATTGACTTTGTTGGCTTCTTTATTAGCATTGGTTTTCTCCTTGGGTTTTGAATTTTGGTTTTCAGGCTGGTCTTCTTTGAGCCTCACCTACCACTCTTTTTGACTAGTGATTTTTAAAGTGCCTTCCCCTGCTCGCTGGAGGTCCCCGCCCGGAACCAGGCTTTATGAGGGAGGCTTAAGGCTTCTGGCCCTCAGTGACACTGGGAATATCCCGGCCCAGTCACTGAGCCTGAGGACATGTGAGTTTGGGTTCAAAAGACTTCATATCAGTTATGCCCCTGGGCAGAACGTGATGGCAACATTTAATTTTTTTAATTTTGAAAGAGCAGAGACTTACAGAAAAGCTACAAAACGAGTACAGAGAGTTTTCATATGCTCTTTAGCTAGTTCCCATAATGTTAACATCTTATCTCACCAAAGCACAATTATCAAAGCCAGGAAATTAACATTGTTATAATACTCTTAACTAAACCTCAGACTTCATTTGGCTTTCACAAGTTTTCCCACTAATGTCTTTTTCTATTTTATAATCCAGTCTAGGACCACACATTGGATTTGGTCATTTTCTATTTCCATAATTTCATCTACTTTTTTTAAGGAAGATCTTTTTCTTCTTCCCTGTTTATTTATCCCTTCAATTGTTTATGTCAGAATGGACTCATGCTTACTTATTTTAGTTGATGGGATCTGATGGAATCCAGTAGCCACTGGATAACTTCCAGCCCAGCCCTGATTTCACACAATGGCCTGGATTCTATGTCCCATCTTACACAAGGCACTGCTATCAGCCCCCCTTTTCTATAGGAACTTCTAGAACTCTTGACTACCTCTACTTCTTTGCTGACATTAGGCCCAGGAGACCCACTATTTTAGTTTTGGAATAAAAGTCTAAATCCTTAACACAACCTGCAAGATATTGCATTTGGTCCCTGCCTGGCTTTTTAGCTTCATTTTTCTCTTGCCCACCCCACAGTTCTCAATTAGCCAGACACATGGATCCTTTTTCTGTTCTTTGAAAGCTATAAACTCCTCTTTGCCTCATCATCTTTGCCCCTGCTGTTCCTGTGCTTAGAACACTGTCACCCCCCTCTTCTTTATGAGCTAAGACATATTTTTGGTTAGTTACTATACTGTTTAACAGTTGAACTATCTCTAGCCTGAAACTCCTTACATCTAAAGCAGCAAGCTTTCAACAGGCATGTCCAGCTTTGCCAGTTTTGTTAATTAGAATGAATTTCCTTCAAGCATAAGATGTCAGCACCTAAGAGCTGGACTTTTCTTTGAGTATAAACTACATCATCTTCTCTAAGGAATATAACCAAAGCAGGAGGGTATCAAAAAAGCAGTGAAAGGTGAATGTCTTATTGAGTGTCAAGTCTAGAACTGGTAGAAGAATCAAGAGCAGATGATGAACAGCCAGGGAAAATACATGAGCATTAACGGGCAGCAGAATTGCCAAGCAAGCTCCTGCTACTGGCAGTGTCACATGATAACCAATTGTTCTTTCTTTTCCAACACCCTCTGTGAAGAGAGTTTTGGTGTGTTGTAAATTTTCCTACAGTCACTTCTGCCTCTTCTTACTTTGATACCATTAGTGTCATAATCTTGTACCCAGCAAAAGGTCAGAACCTTGTCATGAGGCAGCACCATGTTAGCCCAGCCATTTCCTGTGTCTCATTCATCGTGGGGCCAGGCGAGAATGGTGGCATCCTTGTTCTGACCTCGGTTCCCAGGTCACTCCTGGCAGGGGGCACCTCCAAGTCCACACCCCTGGGGGCTCTAATGTCAGTGTGAATGGCAGGTTGTAACTCTTGCACCAATTCTGTGGTCTGAGACTTAGTGGAAAGAGACTGGGATGGAGTTAGAGGTCTGTGCCGCCTAGCAGGACCCTGGGCAGTTGCCCTTCTCCATTTCTTGGTGTCTGCAAGGGCTCAGCAGGCATGCTCTGCATGTGGCCTTGCTGCAGGCCTTCCTCCCGCAACCACTCTCCCCACCAATTTCCCCTCAGCCAACCCTCTACCAGTCAATCCCAATAGGCATTTTCTCCCAGCTCTGACTCCAGGGCCTCTCCCAGCTCTAAGGAGCTGAGATTCTGAGGATTTGTCTTGAGGCTTTCTTCAGTCTAGAGCTATTGAGTTTGGGAGCCTCACCCCATACCTTCTCTTGCATCCTACAGAAATCAGGGTGAAATGGCCCACACCTGCCGGGGCACCATCAACCTGTCCACCGCGCACTTTGACACGGAGGACTCTTGCGGTATCGTGCTGAACAGTGGGGCAAGGACCTACCACCTCAAGGCCGGCTCGGAGGCGGAGAGACAGCAATGGATCACAGCCCTGGAGCTGGCCAAGGCGAAGGCTGTCCACATGATGAGCAGCCACTCAGGTAGTGAGCGCTAAGCTCAGTGAATGTACATGCAGTGCTGCGGGTCTGGGAATTGAAAGTATTTAGGGGGCAGAGGTGGCCAGGAGGCCCAGACTAATGCAGACCAACCCTGGAGGGCCGAGGCATGTGTTCATCCTTCCCCTCCATTCCGTGCATCCTTAGCAGTGAGAACTTTAGGTGGTCAAGGGTGGCTGGCAGTTCTTGGGATGAAAATGTTTATGGTGGGCAGGGCTGGGTGCGCCTTTCTTTGGCAGCGCCGGTTCCTGGACTTCAGCATAGCCTTCCAATGCTGCAGTGGGCCGGCGCTGAAGAGGCATTTGGGGGCGGGAGCCCAGGATCATGCGCTGGTGCCTCGGGCCAGGTCCGTGACAGAGGCTGAGAACTGTTTAGCCAGAGCTACCGCCTTTGCTGAGGTGGGAAGCCAGCTCAGATGTCCCGAGCAAGGCGGTTTTACTTTTTATTTAAATACATTTTAAAAGTACATAGTATCTTTATGTGATTCATAAACCAGTGATTTGAGAAGCATATGTAGTGAAGTCTGCCCTGACTCTTGTCCTGGACCACCCATACTGTTCCCCTACTCAGGGGCGACCAGAGCTACCAGTGTCTTCTGCTTTTATGTCTGTATTAAAACAGATACTTATTTTAAAATAGGCGTGGTCCTCCACCTTTCTTTCTTTCCACTTATCACTGTGTCTTGGACTTTTTCTCTCTAGAAGTACATAAAAAGCTTCCTCCTAGTTTTCACAGCAGTACAGTGCTTCGTTGTATGGACGTACCGTAGTTTATTTAACCTGTGGCCAGTTGAGGAACATTTAAGTCATTTCTCTATTTTGCTATGACACTCTGTGCTGCAGTGAGTGCCCTTGCATTTCACTTCATATGTGTACAGGAAAAATGAAGTGAACATTCCAGCAAGTGGGTTTGCTGGGTCAGTGGGAGTGTCATTTGTAATTCTGACAGCTTGTCAAGCTTGTAATTCTGTAATTTATCAGTTGCCTGCAGCAGTGTGTGAAAATGCCTGCCTCTACATAGCCTTGCTGGTCTGGAGTGATAGCAAACATTTCTGATGGGTGAAAACTGGGCCCACAAACACAGGGAGGGGTGATTGGGAAGCTGTGATCCTTCTGAAATTACAAGCAAAATGGTGTGTGTTTCCACAGACCTGTGTGTTTTTTTAAGAAGGCAGGGCTCTAGGTGAGAACAAGTCAAAGCCCCTGCTCTCCAGAATTATCTCACAGGCTGGCTAGGGAGACAGTGAGTCCTGTGGAAGGAGCTCTAGCACAAAGCAGGATAGATGATACCCACCCTCTCCCAGCTGGGTCCCTCCCCGAGCACCAGCCTCTCAGTGTACCCTGAAGGTCATTGAATATCAGCTTGGGCTTCTTTTAGTCTCACCCTAGTGTCAGCAGTGATGCTGAGCTTGGCAAGGGGTCCCAGGGTATCACTCCATTTCCCAGTGAAGGAGGATGTTGGGGCCATCTCAGGCCCGGGCTGTGCTGAGACCCCACCAGGACCTAAGGCCTCAGTTTGGATACCTGTGGAAAACCACTGTGGCAGTGATGTGGCTGGTAGTGTGGCTGGGCTCAGGGCAACCCCAGAACAAGTTCTGGAACACTGTCACTTAGGGAAGAACTAGCTTCCTCTTTTTTTCTTCTCCTGAGTAAAATAAACAAAATAAATAAATAATAAATTGCTTCATTTTCTAGGAACTTCCTGAAAATAATGTGGCAGGTAGCATTTATCAGATTCATCATTCTGAAACAATTTTCCTGGGACAGCCAGTGGGAGCGGTTTCTTTCACAGCTGGTGTGGAAGTACTTACTAACTCAGCTGTGCGGTGCTAGGGATTGCTGGCCTGAACTTCCTCTAGGAGAGGTTGGGACCCTTGAGAGAGTGGCCTGAGGCTCACCTTGCTTCATTTCATGCCCTCTAGACATGGTCAGGGGCTGGAGACCACAGAGCTGTGTTCCCAAGGGGTTGGCCTTCTGGGAAAGGACACCGGATAACATACAGGTATTACTCAAGGTATCACACACTATGTGTCAGTGAGGAATGGTAGGATTCTTCTCCTTTTGGTGTTTGGAAGCACAAATGAACTAGTTCTCCTCTGCCTCTGCTCTCCTGCTGAGTCCTGGCCTCCTGGCTGCTATACCTGATCCATGTGGCCCACAGTGCTCGAGGCAGCCTGCTGCCGAGGCTGGCCATGACTTCTGAAGTTGCCTCAAGGGATGAGGTCAAAAGGCCTGGGGTCTGTAAGCAGCCACTCTGTGCATCTGAGCCGCAGCACCCACAGCATGCCTACATGTGGTGCGAGCTAGGAGGGCTGTGCTCATCTGGCAACTACCTAGTTTGTGTTGGTTTCTTTTAAATTGAGTTCTCTTTTCCTGCCAGTACCTGTACCCTTCCTGGTCTCTTGACCTTTGAGCATATCTACCTGCCAAAGCCCAAGCTGGGATCATGCCACTTGCATCCTCCTGTGGGCTCCTCCCAGCCGCGGTGGAACGCTGGAGGCAGCATCTATGCCTGGGTAGGCCACGGCCCCCGAACGGGGCAGAGCCTGGGAGCACTGAGGGCACGGAGCTGTAGGTGGCTGATGGCTGGGGACTCGGGAGATGTCCTGGATAGCTGGTCAGGGGACCTCCTGCCGGGTTGGAAGTGGGCAGAGGCTTACCACACCGAGGGACCAGAGCTCACCAGCCTTTTTATTCTCGGATTCACAAGCCTTTTCTCGGATGTTATTAGGAGAATCCATGTGAGGAAGGGCAGCCTGAGGACTGAATGATGTGCTATTTAAGTAGCTTTGACAAGGGAAAACTTGACCTAGTTTCTGCAACTGTCATCTGGTGGCTGGATCAAGGCCCTTCCAAAGTGGCACTGGGCCTGGTAGGGCTGGCTGGCATTGGCTGGCATACGCACCTTTGCTCACTCTCCTGTCTTTTTAAGGTCCCAGTGGGGCACCTTCAGGGAGAAGAATGTATCAGGAAAATGAACTTACATCTAGGCAATCCCTCTCTCTGAGAGGGGCAGGGGACCAAGGGCACGTCCAGCATTCACCTCCCCACGACACTTACTCATTCAAGTCTTGGTGTCTCTGCCGGGATCAGTCCCCACCCATCTCAGTCCTGAGGTCTCCCGGGGCCCTTGGCCCTGCAGTCTGTCCTCAAGCCCCTGGGCCTTGTGCCCTTGTTGGCACATCCCTGCATCTTCAGCCTCGCCTTGACGTGGGACACCCGGCCCCGTGCAGCCTGACCTGACCAGGCCCTGTGTGCCGCCTCCACATAGCCATCTTTGAATCCTGGGCTCTGCCTCAGTGAACTGCAAGTCAGAAATCCATCCTTTTCCGGCTGTCACAGCAGCTGCCCTCCCTGCAGACGACTCTGACTCCTTCATCAGCTGCCTTCTTATCCTTCCTTGCTTGACCTGGCCCCTTTGTCCCTCAGTCCCTCCTGAGGTGGCTCTTCCTCTCCCATCCTGTTGTCTAGATTCCATCCCACCCACCTGTCTTCCACCTGACCATGTGGCAGCCTGGGAACCAGACAGGCCTCGGCTTGAATCCCAGCTGTGCCACTCACTAGCTGGGTGACTTTGGAAAAGTCACTTGACTACTCTGGGCCTCTGTTTCCTCACCCTAAAGTGAGTCTGATGATAAAGATCTCTCGGGTTGTCAAGAGGAATAAATTAAGTCATGCTGTAGACTGCTCAGTGTAGCAACTGGCATGTTGCTCAGTTGTGGCAACTGGTTGCTCAGTTGATGGCAGTGAGGCTCTTGCTCTTTCGGTCATGACCCTGCATTTCTGGTTCCTCTGCCTTCAGACAGGGGTGTTAGGGCCCCTTCACTGAGCCCAGGTACACATGCCTCATGGCCAGGGTGTGGGGTAACCCTCCCAGCCATAGGTCAGCACCTCCTCAAACCCAGGGCTTCTGCTGGACCTTTATCAGTGCCTGCCCCCCACGGTATGGGTCCCCTGCCAGCTTCCTCTCCCATCTCCCAGTGGCTCCTGACGTCCTTGCCACTCTGCATACCCTTACCACTGCCTCCTGCCACCCCAGCAAAGGGCCTTGCCTCCTCCTCATTCCATAGAACAAAAAGAACTCCACAGCCTGGATCGCCTCAGCTCTGCCACCAGACTTACCAACCTCACTGCTTACCCATCTGTGGGATTCCAGGGAAAACTTTCCTCCTTTCTGAAGCAGTGCCTGGCCATGGGGGCTGCTACCACTTTCCTCCTTGGGGACCGGGTTCTGCTGCTGTTCTCTCCCATAGTCTCAGCCTCTCTGCTGGCTTCCTCCCGCTGTTCCATCTGACCCACTGCCCATGACCTTGAAACCTCCCTTGCTACGGTCTTCATTCACCTTCCAGACCTTGTAGGTGGCCAAGCAGTAAACCAGCGTACCAACCTTGACCCCTGCCCTCCCTCACCTCTCATGTTCAGCTGTCGTGAGGTCCTGTGAGCACCACCCCCGAACAGGTTTGCATCTATCAGCTGCCCTCCATCTGCATGGCCTCCACTTTGGTTCAGCTGCCTGGCCTCCCAGATTCTGGACTCCACAGTCTTCCAGTAAAGACTGTTTCCAACAGCCAGAGTGAGTCTTCTAAAATATAATTTGACTTAATTCCAGTCCTGAGTTGGATGAAGTAAGAACACTTCACTCTGTGCAGCTAGAAAACCTGGACAGAAAGCACAGAGCAGCTTCTTAAGCACCCTGAAAATTCACTAGCCACAGGCAGACTGAAGAAGGCTAGGATTTGAAGTAGTCCTGAGTAGACGGTGAGTTTACCATTTTACCTTCCAGTATCTTCTGGCCTGGACTTGGGAGACCCAGAGGTGAGCAGAGAGAGCTCTAGGAGAAGCCCTCTGGTTCAAGGTCAAAGAGCCGGAAAGGGTCTCCTGCAGTGATGGTGGCAGTGGGCGCACTGCAGGTGCCTAAAGCTCTGAGGGAAACCATCTTTCCCAACAGGAATATCTGTGGTCCCAATAGGGTGAATGAACCCCCAA